GGGGCAGTCCATTCGCCAGTACCTCGTTTTGCAGTCGTAATGCTTACTTAGCCTCAACACGCCGACAGTGAACGACGGTGCAAAAAGGTCCGCGCAAAAAAATCAGTCGCTCGCCCGCCATGCCGGTCTCCTCCGAGACACTGCCTGCCACACACGACACCCAGATCAGGTGGTTGTTCATATAGTGCGCAGTATGCCAGTCCCACATGAAGCTACGAAAGCCTCCTCACTTGGCATCCGGGTGTGCCCCCCGAGCTTTTGGCGAGTTGTTGGCGACACCGGCGAGCCTCAGCATGAGGGCAGGCGTGCTGCTGGGGCTGCTTTGCGCCCACTTACCCAGAACTCTGCAATACTCTGCAACTGGGGCACCGGCTCCTTGCCCGCTGTCGTGCCCGGTCTGCACCCCCACCACTGCGGTGGTCCGCTTTCATCGCCTTTGCCGCTGCACGCGCTTTCGCGACCAGCCTTGCCAATGTCGACGGAGATCCCCCGCTCCTCAGCGACTTTCTCGCCGAACCATCGGCCTCCCCTCCTTTTGCCAGCCACATGCCCTAACATGCCTCGTAGTCTGGCCTTGTGGTTTCGGGCGTGTAGGGACCGCGTGAGCAAAAAGGTGTGTATATTCCACCTCCCAACGCAGACCCGCTGCCAGGTCCAGCGTGCACTCAAGGCTCGTGACTCGTGCGTGTGGTAAGGCTCAGAGTGCACGGAAGCTGCCGGACGGACCATGGCTTTGTAGGTGCCGAAAAAATGGCGGGATTTCAAACTCCTCCAGCAACTTTGGTTTTCCCTCGGATTTTTCCGCTTGCATGAGGTGACGAACGCAGTCCCAGTGCAGCAGCCTACCACGGGTAGACCCATTCTTCACACCAAACCCTAGCCAGCGGGACCCCTACACCGAGATCACCAACCAGGAAGCACGTGCAGTCGACTGGCCTGAGGCGGGTCCCGTGCAATTGGCTCCTCCTCTCTATGTGTGCGTTCCCCCCGCTCCAACCAGGCGCTGCGCACGCTGCCCCCATCCGAGTCCTGAAGGTATTTGCCGCCGCACATGACGAAACTATCTTCCGTGTGGTGTCCAGCTCCGGGTCTGGGAAGTGCTTCAAGCCTTCTTGGGCATTCGACGCAGCACCTCACGGCCGATCGCCACGCTGCCAGCAGTGCTCGGCGACTTGGCTTGCAATCCGCGAGCGCGCGGCCCCGGCGGCGTACTGGGCATGCCGCGTGGGCGGACGCGCCACACGTGATGCAAGCCCGCGTGCTCCACTCCGCGCAGCTGCCTTGAGGCCTCAGAGGGCGGTAGCGGCGAGGGAGCTCCTGCGAGAGGCGGGTTGGCACCAGACGACGCAGGGCCAGGGGATTGGCCGCATGGCTGGCAGACGCACACGACGCGAACTCTCAACACCCACATCCGCGAGCACGTGCTTTTGTTTGACATGCCACCCAGGCTCACAACGGCCTGTGCGAAACCGTTTGTGGAACGCAGCAGCGCCTTACAAGATGTGCTTTTCTGTTTTGTGGGTGCAGCCCCAGCTTGCGTTGTGTCGGCGTTGCGTGGCCAGCGACCAGCGACTACTGTATACAAAGAGGAGGGTTTGTCAGTTGTGCATTTTGTAACTGTGGCGGGTCGCGCAAGAATCTGAGGACCAAACGACATTCGGAGGACGGTTGCTGCCGCTGCTGAGAAAGGGAGACGGTGGAAACGCAAATGGTTGCTTTGCGCGAAGGCCGTGTGCCAGCAGATGCGAGGTTTACAACGCCATCGTGCGATTCTCAGTTGAGCTGGGCCCGGGAGACAGAGTTGTCAGGACTGGTTTTTCGTTGCGCGTTTGTTCCCATTGCTCCACGGCGCAGTGCTGGGTTTAGGCAAAGCCAGATGCACGAGACTGCAATGCATGAAAGAAATACACGTGCGTGGCCCGTGTCAATGGTTGATCGTTTTGCGATACAGAATTTTGAGATATTCAGAGCTTACCAACACGTGTTTGTCCAGATGGTGCAGGCTCCAGCTTCTTTATTTGACAAGCACGGTTGCTTCGAGATCATGCACGAATTACAAGAGTTCAGTCGTCACGGAAAAAGTCTGAGCATGTTGAGATAAGGTGACGAAATCCATGTCGAGGAGCATGCTTGGCTGCGAAAAGAGGTTGAGTTCACGGAGCAGTGGCAACTTTTGCCCGCAAGGAATCCAGATGTGCAGGTGAGTTTTCCTGCGATGTTTTTGTTGCAATCTGTAGAGTGAATGTGTGTTACACACACTGAAGGCAAGCTTGCTCAGAGCACTTAGCCTACATGGCCAACGACCGTGGAAATGACTTGGCCACTGCTCAGCCCCCGGCTTGCCAACAGACCGTGCTGCGACTCTGCAATATCGCATGCCACCCCATCATGCGATTTTTCAGGCGTTATCAGAACTAATACCATAATTTGCGATCCGAATGTGAGTGTCAAAAATGTACGATACCGTAATGTACTGTTCATGATAACATACGACAACGCATTATAACTTATAACGGGCTATACCAGCCACCAGCCGTGAGGTCGCCCAGGAAGTTGAAGTCCAGCAAAGACTGCGCAGGCCGGCCGTAAGAGCACCCAAAAGTATCCAAAAGTGTGGTTTGGGCATAGGGAAGTTTAGGGCACTGAAGTGTAGTTTGATGTCGAGGTCGTTGCATCGGGAAAACGAAGAGCAGGCGCTTTGGATGCAATCAAGATTTTACTCAGGAGGAGCTCCGAGCCATAGGGGTCGATACGTCCTGGTATTGGAACAGAATGACAATGCATAAGCACATGCAGAACACATGCAGAAATCGGGGAAGATGGTGGAACCAAGAAAAGGACATCGTGGGAGCTGGCAATATCAAAGCTGAGACTGAGACTGTGGAGAGGCTACTGTACAAATCAAGGCAGACTCGGGGTGCGCAACAACGCAGAGACCCCCCTGCTTACAGTGGTCGGTGGCCAATGATTGAATCTGGTGGAAACATTCTATACTTGCTGGCCTTGACTCCCCTATCAAGCGGCGCAACGGGCACAAAAGACCGATAGAGACACGGCCGGTGACGGCCAAAGGGTAATCAGAAGTGCGAAGAGCAGCCGGGACATAACCGGAAAGCGACTGGACTTATTCCCATGTTGTACAGTCCTACTATGAGCAAGCCTTACAAGTCACCCGTAGTGTTGCCAGACTATGGCGTTTTCAGATAAGTTTGAGGCAGTTGGAAGTACCTTTCACCACTGCCACTGCCAGTCACTGCCACTGGCATGCTGCTGGGATCTGCTTGGTGCCTGACACTGAATGTCGTAGCTAAGGAGTGGGTTCTTCTGAAACGCAAATCTCTGGCGTTCGCAGAAGCAGCGGAAGCCAAAACGGTGCGAGCACTTCTGTCGTTTTTGGTTGTGATTGTGTGATTCTGATGTTGGGCATTGTCGGCATGCTGTCGCTGGATTTGTCGGCTGTAGCAGCCGCGCTTAGCCAGCAGTAGCTCAAATTAACCGTGCAAAGGGACATATGTTGCGGTATTCCTTATGAATGGGGTTGCCACCGCGACCAACAAGTTCTCACCACCTTGCAACATCAGGCATGAGCCCACTTCAGATTTTGCAGTGCCAGAGTATAGTTTACCAGTATCAGAGGCAGGCCATGCCGTGGTGCTCGAGCTGCTGCAAATCTCGCGACGACGACGACGTGAGCGACAAGGTGGCGGGAGACATTTTTCTTTGAGCGCGGCCTCAGCTTTCATTCCTTCGGTGCAACAAGGATCCGAAATCGCCGAATCGCACAGATCCTTATTCCGAAGCGGCTAGTCTCATTGGACTTTGGGGAGGGCGGCGTCAGGAAGAGGTCGCTTTGTTTGCGTTCAGGAAGTGGAGAATCATTCTTACGAGTGGGACTCCTTGCACCCCTGACGGCAAAAAGCACCGGTGCAAGCGCCGTCTTGCGCCTCTATCAGTCTGATACATGCATGATAGAGATGCATGGTTTAGTCGGCGAGTCGCTTCAGTTGCATTCCTAAGGTATTTCCCGACGACGTTCTGTTGTGAAGAGTCAGATGACTCAGAGAGTTCGGAGTCAGGGGAGGAGGCGGATGGCGAGTCCTTGCCTCTGGAATCCTTGCTCGGGTCGTGGGCCTGTGTGGAGTCTTGGTCAAGCTTCCGAGGTAATATAGGGGCTGAAGTAATGACCAATGCTGTTTTTGGGCTTCTTCTTCTGCTTCCTCTTATCATTATTGTCATTACAGCATGTGCCCTTGCATAGCGAGGCCCTTGAGGATGGCACGGAGGGAGAGACAGAGAGAAACATACTACATCTAGCTAGCTATCCTGTCTTGATTACTAAGGCCCCCATCTTAGGTCTGTCATTTTGACGGCCAGTGTTCTCTGAAGTATCGACAACTGTGGAAGTTTCGGGATCATGCTGCATGAGGGCTTATACCTTGCCTGGAGGTCTTTAGCTGGGTTCGGGTCGTGCAGCAGCGCAATGTGGCACATTTGTTTGCTTCCGCAACGACGGAATGTGACATCATGCTACTGGCACCGCAATCTCAGGACACATGGGGCTTGGAGGACTTCCTCAAGGGCAATGGCCGCTTTGAATGAAGCACGCTGCCATGGTAATGCACTGCTTTCCGTAGCCTGCACTCGGGACCGTTTAGGGCTCGGCTTCATGAGGCTGGAGGAAGCCGTAATCGAAGTCCGCGTGAATTCACGCCCGTGACGGTTTGCGACCGACGGTTGTCAACATCCATGTGACAACGTAGAGCAGCCTCCTTCTGGCTAGAGGTCCCGTAACGGGAATATACAGTTCGATCAAGCACCTTCTTGGAAGGGCGGGTCAGTTTAGGGTCTTTCAACTTAGCCATGATTTGTTCCAAGAACGTGAACGAAGGATCAGCTTTGGTTGAGTTGGTCATGTACTAACACGAACGAAGATTTCAGTCTTAGAGCATCGCAGCCATGGCAACAGCAACAATGAACACTGGTGGTTTTCGAATCGTTCCGTCAGCTCCGAGCGCTAACTCGCTGATCCGAGGCCACCACAAGAAAAGCTGGCGAACAGTAGTTTCTGTGCCATCGATCAGTCCACCAGAAAATAGTTGCAACAGTGTTGCAACATCAGCCGTAGAAACAATGCCGCAACAGCAACATCTAGAACCCCCCTTTGCTGTTTTTGGCAAGCCTTGCAATCTCAGGTGTTGGCATGATGGAGCGGATGATTGCCACGAAGGCCAAGTGGCCCCGTCGACGGCCCAGGTTGTCGGAGCGAATTGCGAGCGATTCCTATCGAAAAGCTTCTGACTGTATGGACAGCAGCGTCAATGTTCATACTTGTACCACACTCTCGCCCTCCGCCTCCTGGCTCATCAAATTCCTGCTAAAGTCATGATCATCCTCATCATGATTTGGTCCGTAGCGACATTTTTATTGTCGGCCTCGAGCCTCCAATCCTCGTAGCGACCAGACGGCACCATTTGTACGGTGGGCTTGGAAAGAGCATCTGCCTGGCTGACTGTCATGATGCGTGCAAACTGTGTGGGTTTACTTTCCTCTTCGCCAGCTCGTGAGGCTGGGAATTTTGCCGATCCGAAGACCACATCCTGTTTCTCAACCACGCAATGGTCGGAGTTTTGAAGGAGGAAGCCATTTCAAAGCCATGCCCAGTGTCTTCCAACCCCTCGCCTTTGACTCTGTTGAGGAGATGTTCTTGGATCGCGAGTACCAGCAGACGGATGGAAGAGGAAATGTGTGGGCGAGTCGAACGGAATCATGGCCGCACTACTTGTAGCAGGGCACATGACCGTGTTGTGCTGGTGCTGGCTTGGGCGCAACACCCCTGGTGAAAGGAGTGGGTCGCTGAATCGGATGGAGCCTGTGTACTTCGAACAAGCAGAACTGGCAAGATGGGTGCTTTCGTTGAAGAGAGGCAAGGCGGGACAAAAGGGCACCCTCCCTCCTCCCTTATGCTGCAGACCCCGCCTCTGAAAGCTCAGGCGCATCAAGGGAGAGACTTTGGAGTTCACTTTGAAACAAGCTTCGGGCCTGAGTTGGGGCCGGTCTTTCCGACGAGAAAGGTGATGTCCAAAGAGGCATCGCTGCCTTCTTCAGACCCGGATGCCTGGGTTCTGCCGCCAATGCTAAAAGGGGTGCAGCTGAGAGTCACACGCGGCCAGGCCAGTGCGGCCAGGCCAGTGCTGCCATCAGCCGTGAGAGCAACTTTCGGGCTCTCACCGTGACTGGCCTTTCGGGATTAATCGAGACCATGAGTCCTTCCTTCATTTGGGCAGTGTTGTGAGATTCAAGAGTAGTACATGACGTCGATCCAGTGTACGTACGACTTGCACGAGAGGTGTATATATATATATATAGAGAATTTGGTATATGTTGAGGTTAGAACCTGAAATATATACTCGTTCTGCAGCAATAACATTCTATAGGAAGCACATTGGTCCAGAAATGGTTTATCGATTAGATTGGACCCTCTTATTGCTGTTGATTTCCGTTTTGTTGGGTTTTGTCTAAGAGCTCGTATGTACGAAATTTCGATCCTTAAAGTTTCGCATTTCGCACGACAAGCGACAGTTGGTTGCAAGGAAATGCTCGCACGCATTTTCTTACATCGAAATGGTTTTATTCATACCAATGCATCTACGTCTGGAAAAGATAAACCTAAGAGGCAAGTGCTGTATCGTTTCTTGGACTTCAGTCGCGTATTGTTCTCGACGAAGCAGGTTTCCACCGTGCACATGCGCGAGTGGGGCGCTACGGCGACGGGGTTTGGTCGTAAGTAGCAGGGTTTACATCTGTTCATCTTCAAAGCAAGCACTTGTTTGTCGCCCACGCCCGTGCTTCAGGTGGTGCTTTGCTCAAGCCATGTGAAGATTCCCAGGATCTGAGGATGTGTGCTGTAGGCCATGGGCTCGCAGCAGCAACCAGAGTGGAATGAGCCGACCTCACCTGACCTACAACCGGAGGAAAGCACAAGGGCCACACGCTCCCTGCGCGGCCGCAGTGGCCGAACACTGCGTGGTTAGACGGTCCGGCAGTTTTCGCAGACGGTCGCAGACCGACCAGCGCACGAGGTCATGGCCGTGTGGCAATTCTTGGAAGATGAGTTGGATGTCAGGTGTGCCGGCACAGTGGCCAGGCAAGTAGCAAAGACTGCCGGAGAGGTTGGGATCCCGGATGATTTCGGGTACCTGGTTGCAGAGATTCTGTAGGCCATCAGGGAAGACCGCGATCCGGGTCGTGGGGGCGGCCTGCCGAGGGTTTTGGCGGGCACGGCTTGGGCACTCGCCAGGGTGATGTGTGATGGTGAACCTTTGGTTGCCGCTTTTGCCTCTGAAGCCGACCGGTTTGTCTATGAATTTGAGCCGAAAGATCTGGCCACCACAGTATGGGCGTGAGCCAAGTTGCTGCAACTCGATGAGCCGCATTTCGACGTGGCTGGCGAACGGGTCTCGCTTGCGGCCACCGAGCTCAGAGCACATGACCCTGCCGTCATTGCGTGAACGGCAGGAAAAGCCTAGCTCGCCAGGGGACCGCTCATGGAGATGCTTTGCTCTGCCTTCCTCACTGCACTCGAGTCTGATGCAGCAGCTCGGGCTGCATTACTACCGGTACGCGAGAGACAAAGCGAGAGGGAAAGTCATGTGCATTTCAACATTGACATGGAACAGCTAGAACAGGTAATTTAAAGCATGCGCTTCACAAGCGCTTTTGGGACCCTGGCGACAACAGTCGCGGTGGTTGGCGAGGTTTCAGGCTTTAGGCACAGTAGCAGCCCGATTGAGCAAGCTCGGAAGGCCGCCGACTGTCCAGTCAGGTTAATTAAGGCTTTTCGGTTTACCCTTGCCAGGCCGGACGCTTCGAGCGCCTGTCAGAGAGAGAGAGAGAGAGGCACAGTAACAACATGAAAACGGTAGCGAAAATTTAAGGCACGGGACTGAGCACGTGAAAAGGAAGCCAAGCTAGGCCCGGATTTCACGGATGACAGCATCTTGAAGTGCATGATGCCTTGTGCCAAGCCGTAAGCAAGGCAACTCTGGCAAACATGGTGCCTTGCCTGCACCGAGAGCCTTGACTATGCTGAGATTGGCAAGGACTGGTTTACGCAAGCGTGTGGATGAATGATGCGTCCAATCGCATTGCAGTCAGATACCTAGGACCTGAGAGTTAAGTTACGTCAGGTCCATAGCAAAGAGGCCACAGCAGCCATCGGCTTCGCACAAGCAACCTTGCTCTCCAGTAGAAATCTTTCAGGCGTGGTCCTGGGCCTCGCTTCGCTCGAAGGGCATCGCCCTTATGTCTGCGACAGCCCTAGAGGCAACGATCTTGGTGGATGATGCCAGGCTACATCAGTGATCAGGTTTAGGAGCGATTTCAAGATTTCATCATGTCCGGTCGTGTTTTGTTGTGTACACATTGCAAGCCCTTCTCTCGTCCTTCTTGCTCTTTGTCTTCTTCTTCCGAACCCCCTCTGCTGTTCTTATGAATGTTTCTTCTTCGGGTGCCATTTAATTCAGAACCACGCGGCCTTTCGATTTGCGTGCGGAAGATCGACTCGGCCTGAGGCCTACTCTGACTCGCGCCACTCGCGCTACAGCTAGGCAACAGGAGCTGTGAAAAATGTGGAAGGGTAATAGGTAAGTCACAGGGCGAGTTGGAGCGAGTGGAACGATTGGAACGTTGACTCATTGGCGCCCCCAGAACAGTGCGCCCGTGCAAGGAAGGGGGCGAGGAATTGAAGTCGTCCGCGCCACTCGCGCCACTCGCCACTCGCGCTGTAGACGAAAGGAATGAGTGGAGCAGGTAACGTACAGGGCGCGTGGCACGAGTGGAACGAGTGGAACGGTCGGGGCGAGTGGAACGAGTGGAACAGACGGATTAGCACCCCCCCTTGCATGCCGACACTCTCGATGATTCTGCTTCCACTAAAGTGAGACTGAGCATAATGATTAACGCACACACACACACAAGCGCACACTCAAAACCCCGGAAGTATCCACAAATAAGACTTTCATCATCAAAGCACCAACCTCCGTAATGGTAGTCGCCAAACCTGTCTCAAGCATATCTCAGGAGTTCCACGCGCAGCACCTGGCAAGCGCATTTCAAGCTTTCGCCAAGCTCTTGCTACACGACCTCAACCTGATGCCTGCAACGGGCTCCTCGGCCAGAGATCTGTAAAGTAAAGAACCACAACCAGTCACAACCACGAGTCTCAACACACCATCAGCAGCAGCCACAATCACGGCAACCATGGAGATAGCCGCTAAATCCCGTGCATGCAAAATACCATGAATGTGTCGGAAAAGGAGACAAAGAGTCGTCGTCGTATTCGTCGTCGTTGTCGTGGTCGCAGCAGCAGCAACGACAACAGCCACAACAACGACAACATGTCGTTGCCACCATCATCATCATCATCATTATCATTATTAGTAATATCATCACCACCATATCATCATTGTCATCATCATCATCCTCGTCATAACTCGATCTTTCCAAGCCACTGCTTCAGGCGGCATTGTGACGGTCATGTCCATCCTGTGTTGCATCTGGTGTTTGTGGTCAAGTCTCAGGCGCCCGCGCACGTCTGGTCGTGACCGAGCCCGATGCACAACAGCTGAGCAACACGTTGCGGGCTCTCGGGCGATTGAATTTTAGCGGCCATTTCACAACTGAAGCCGCAGCACACCAGGTCCAATCTGCTCGCAGCCTCCTTGGGCCGCAGGAAACTTCGAACAGGACTCGGACGCCTACCAGTTCGGTGTTGCTCGATCTGGCACTCTTGGAAGGGCTGGCCGATCAAGCAATACGAATGGCCCCACACTTTGATCCACAAGGCCTGGCAATGGTGGCATGGTCCTTCGCTACATGCGAGCTGCGAGACCTGCCGCTGTTTGACACCACCGGGGAACAGGTTTTGAGCATCATCCATGAGCTCGACCCGCAGTTCACAGCAATCAGCGCCCGAGATCCTTCCACGCCGGCCACCTTGAGCATCTCCCTGATGTAGGCGCCGGCGAGGAGAGGCTGCGCTTCGGCCACCGAGCTCGGGCCCCAGAGCCCCTCCAACTTGGCCCGGGCACCCGGCCGGCCAGAGCTCCGTGGAAGCCCGGTTTTGGACGCCACCGCGGCCACTGTCCTGGACCGGAGCTCGGAGTGCTCGCCGCTGAACTCGTCCAACCTCGCACGGGGGCTTGGCACCTTGCGAGATGCGCCAGGGTCGCTGCTGACTGCCCTAGGAAGGGAGTCCATGGGCAAGCTGCCTGAGCCCAGTGGCCAGCAGCTGGCAAACATGGTTTGGGGTTTTGCATGGCTGTCTTTTCTGGAGGCCAGCTGGATGGAGGCGCATCCCAGATTTGCTCGGCCCCTGCTGCCGGAGCACACCCCGCAAGGGCTTTGCAACACAGCCCGAAAGCCTGCCAAGCTGGTCGCTTTCGGGGAAGCACTGATGATGTCAGCTTGCGATGAGGCTCAGAAGAGGTTCCATTTGTCCCAGCCACAGAACTTCTCCAACTTCGTACGAGCTTTCAGAATTTTTCACTTGCTGGGTGGGCAGCTGATGAACTCGATCGGCTACGATTTCCGAGACAAGCTGTCGGAGTTCGATGCCCAGGCGCTCACGAACACCCTGTGAGGCTATGGGCGGCTCTCGGACATCCCTTCCCATGCGCTCGACCCAATCCTGGAGCAAGCCAGCCGGAAGCTGTCCCAGTGGTGCCCACAGAGCCCGTCCAGCATGTCGTGAGAGCTGGGGGCTCCAACATCCAGGTCGAGGAAGCTCATGCAGTTGGCTGCGGCACCTGCGGTCGCAAGTAGTGATCAGTTGCTTTTAATCGTGCTTGGCCTTTCGAGTTCTTAATGCAAAGCCGTCGTCTGTCGGGGCTGTAGAGTCCATCCTATGAATAATTAGTTAATTAGTCTGTCAGTGCTGCCGTTACCTAATGCACATCGTTTTGCAGAGTGAGCTGTGGCCCTAAGCAACCCCCAGAAATCAAACTCAGGTGTAGGAGCGGTTTATTGTGGATGCCAGAAAGGTTGCTTGCAGGATTCCATTAAGAGGTGCCTCTAGCCGTCGAAGCCGGTAGGTAGTCACCCACACAAACCTCTTAGCAAAGCCTACGCCCCCTGAACGCTGAGCCCTTGACTTGTCAAATGTGAAACTCGACAGTCGCTATGACCAGGTTCAGATGGCCCAGAAGATTGCCGAGCGCGTGCCGCAGGACCTGAGCAACACGGCCTGAAAGCCCGGCCGGCCCGGCGCCGTGCGCTACAGCATGCTGGGGGCGACTGCAAGAGAGGCCATCCGAGCCTCGACTGGGATAGCGTAGAATATCTGCCTGGCTCTGTGATACCACATGTTTTGACTCTGTGTGTGTGTATGTTGCTTAGGTGTAGGTGTTCTGCATGTGTATGCGAATGTGCGTATGTATGTAATTTATAGACTTATAGAGATATGCGGAACCTGAAGAGCGTAGAGTTGGGTTTTTTGTCCAGGCTTGTTCCTGTTCCTTGTAGCTTGGGCAGTAGTTGGAAAACGCTGCGAAGCCCGTGAGTTGGTCAGCCAAGATCACATGGCAGAGTTCACGCCGCAGAACTTGGCCAACACTGTGCAAACACGGAGCACCTCAGAATCATTCGGCTCTCCCTTGATGCATGCGAGCATCGCCTCGGCGGTGGCAAGGCCCAAATTGCTAGTCTAGCAGTCTTGGGAAAGTCTACGGTTAATTTCACGGCTCATTTGTTCGCTCAGCAACGACGACCAAGATGCAGGTGTAGCGAGCTCTCTGCTCAGCACCTGGGAAACGCGGCATGGAGGCTTGCAGCTTGCTCGGCGGTCAGTATGCCGCTGCTGGAAGCTATGGGCGACCATGCGGCTGAACAGGCCTTCACAGCACAGTGTTAGCACAATGGGTTTGAGTTTCCAGGGTATCATCAGGGCCATCTACTTACCCTGAACCCTAAACCCTAGGCCCTAAACCCTAAACCCTAAACCGTGACATTGAGGGTGCAGAGGGTGCAAGCTAATTCAGTGGCCCCTGCCTGGAGGTCGCCTCGTACGACCTGCAGGCCGGAATCGTCTGCGAAGTCCAGTTAAAATTATTCTTTGTCTTAGTCTTAGAACCTTATATATTCTATATTATATTATATCATATGCCATTAATTATACTATATGCATATAGGATATATCATATGATGTTGTGTTATACGATACTGATGTACAAGTCCGGCCAGACATGAAGCCGCGAGAACACTAAAGTAGGGGGCGGGGTCAGGAACGATTGCTTGGGGGGACTGAGCGTAGCGGTAGACACACCAAGCCGAACTACGATGCGCAGTCTGCAGGTTGTTTTAAAAGTCCGGGTTGCAGGGACCATGAGGGGTACATGCTCCTACTGGTAACCCAATATGCGGAATCCACGTGATGAGCAACTGCTGTTTGCCGCTCCCCAGTTGCAGGCGCTGTGCTGGCTGGCGGACTTCCCACTGTCATGTCAGGCGGAGATTGCCGTTTCTTGCCTTGGTTGGGGTTTCTCAGTGACGGCATGATTACAAGTTTAGGGTTTAGTGTGGGGTCCCTTTAGGGTTCTTGTTGACTTTTTCTTTGCCCCTTCCGCACATGAGAGACGCAGGTTTAAAAGACATGGCTCGTGGGGTAAGGTTTAGGACGTCAGCTGACAACAAGAGCCTGGGTTCTGCAAGGGCTTCGGCTTGCAGCCCAAGGAGGAGAGTAACACAACCTGATTTGCTCAAGGTCATCAGTCAAAGCCACCGGTGACTGCAAGTACTGGTAGTTGAAGCTGCTTGTTCATGGACGGTTCCGATACAACATCTTGATCATGGATTAGAAGCGAGTCCGGCCACGCGGACCAGTCACGATGACAAGTGCAACAAGAAGGAAGCAGAACATGCTTGCTAGCACTTGAGCCAGGTTCACAGACGACGAGAAGTGAAATTTGCTTTCCACTAGCACGACCACCACCTATGTCGAAATCATGAACATCGACCCTAAAGTATTCGTGCAAGGCTGCCCGGAAATTTGCACTGGTGAGTGGCCACCAACTTGGTTCTGAGATTCGGCAGCTTTGGGTGAGAATTGTTATAGAACCCCCTGTAGAAGCCTTCTAGCTAACGTATAGTATCCCTGATTCAATTCCTTACCCCGCCAAGGACCGTCTCACCACATACATCCAGCAGATCTGGTCGCAGTTTCCGCAGGGGAAGTGGCCGGCCACGGGCCCCGACCAGGATCCCGTGGCATGCTTTTGCGATTTCACGTGGCGTCGAGCCGTAGAGCCGGCAATCCTGGAGTCTCGAAGCTGCTTTGAATAAGCATGGTAAAACTGTGCGGCAGCATCACCACCATCATGTCAGTTACCATCCCCATCACACGTTGCTTTGTTCTTGACGAGCGAGTGTTGTTGTGATCACGGTTTCATCTTCGCTTCCTGTTTCATCTTAGTTTTAAGAGTAGGTACACTTGTTCTGCACATGGCCACGCCTCAGCTACGAACCCGGCATCTTCCCCGTCCATGCCAGGCCTTCCTCCACTACATCAGGCGCGTGGGAGAAAGGAGCAAGGCAAGACAATCGTGTACCGCAGCTTATAAAGTAACAACAACAACAACAACAACGACTACTACTACTGCTACAGTACTGCTGGTACTACTATTGCTGCTGCTGCTGCTGCTGCTGCTGCTGCTGCTGCTGCTACTCCTACTGCTACCGGTACCGGTACCGCTACTGCTGCTGCTGCTGCTGCTGCTGGCTACAGCTGCTGCTACTGCTACAGCTACTGCTACCGCTTCTGCTACTGCTACTGCTGAGCTACTGCTGCTGCTGCTGCTGCTACTACAACTGCTACTGCCACTGCTGCTGCTGCTGCTGCTACTGCTACTGCTACTACGACGACGACGACGACGACGACGACGACGACGACTACTACTACTACTACTACTACAAGTACTACTGCTAGTACCGCGTGACCATGTGGGTGACTGACTACCACCACCACCACCACCACCACCGCCACCGCCACCGCCACCGCCACCGCCACCGCCACCGCCACCGCCACCGCCACCGCCACCATCGCCGCCACCACCACCGCCGCGACTACACAACTACTTCTGCCGAGGTCGTAATCGCAAGTGGAAGCCGCATGCTTATTGGCAATTGAGCGGCATTTGATAATCTCCTGCCATCGTTGCTGTGACCGTGGTCAGTGGCACTGTTGTCTTCTTGGCATTCAGAACCACCAAACACGCAGAAGACAAGCCATGCAAACAGCAGTGCCTTTGTCATAAACGACGCTTGGGAGGTCGTTGGGCCTTGACAACCTGGGAGCTGTGGGAGGTCGCCAGCTTCTTCAACGAATGGGTGTCACCGAGGCCTTGTCAGACAAGGACCTGGTATTGACATTCAAATGTCGGGTAAATGCATGACGGAAGCATCGGCCAAAGACATATGCCTGCATGAGCCAATCAGCTAAAGAAGGGCAAGAAAGCCGAGCACGAACTTGAACACTTCGTAATACAATGGTAATATTGTGCTATAAGTTATAACGGTAACATTGATAGTAATGTCATGGTAATATATAATTGGAACTCAAGGGCAATATAATGCTAATATAGTTGTAATTGTGAGCCCGGGCTTCTGGGAGGCCGACGCCGGCTTTGTTTACCGGGCCTCTTTGATGATTCGGGAGCACCGCGAGGAGGATCCACGCGAGGCCAGCATTGAACCTTTCTATCGGGCTCTGACACTTTCCACTGCAGTAGGCTGAGGGATCAAGCTTGAAACCTTCAACCTTGAGCTGTGAACAAGTCGAAGCCTCGCCTGGTCTTTTTGGGGAGGCTAAGCTTTGGTGAATGTAGTAGTAGAATCGTTGAATTGCGATGGAGTGCGACGCGACTCGCCGCTCCCCGGGCCTCCTTCAACCTCCTACGCCCCGTTTTCCGCAAAAGTTTAGGGCTGAAAAGGTTTAGGAACCCTCAACTCGGAGACTTCACTTATTTTCACACGGACTGCGCCCGATAGGCCTCGCCTGGATTGTCCGAGTTGTGAGTGTAAACCCGAAACCCAACCCTTCTTCGGGGTTGGGCCTTCGAGGCTGCAAGCGAGATGACTTTTGGGGGTCCTACGAGGACACGCCGCGTCTTCAGCGCCATCGCAGCAGTTTGGATTCAGAGAGTGCTAGAAAATTGGCAAGCACAGTGCCAATCAAACTGGCAGCAGGCCTTTACCAGCTGCAAGCTGCCGAAAAATCTGCCGGGCCGGGTCCACGCGATACCCTGTGCCCAAGGCTACGCAGAATACCGGCTGCAATCTCCGGCACACACGGCCGCATGTTCGCAAAGCTTTAAGGATTTTGGGCTTGGGAGTTGTCTCGGATCCTGCGGTGTTCAAGAAGTTTCGAGTCAGCTTGCCTCAGAAGGGGCAGTATGGACGGGAATCTGCCGTTGCAAGCTGCAGTCAAGCCAAGGACTACCTCGAAGGGGCACTTGTCCAGGACAGGTAATCTGAACGTTTCGTTTTTCCTTTGAAGCCGGGACTAAAGAATCCACTTGTCGAGGAGAACGGTGCCAGGGGCCCGCACCACGCGACAAGCCCGCTCCACGCGCTACAGCCCCGCGGCTGCACCGTCGACTCCAAACTGTGGCCACTCCAGTCGGTTTTTGAGTGGCTTCTCTAGGGAGAAGGCTGCTTCTAAGGGCGTCGGTAAACGAAGGCAACGGCGCATCAGGGAAGTTCGTGGGAGGAGCTTCGTGCCGCTGCCGCTTTCGGCTCAAAGCTCCCTGCAACTCCTCCGGCCTCCGGCGGGCCCCTGTTAGCGATGCCGACCGTAAGTGCCATCCTCGGGTTGTCCAGAAGCTCGCCCCGAGCTCAAGAAGGGGACCCCGCTGTGTTTCCTGAGGCGTCTTCTATGACTGCTTGCAGAAAGCATTGGGGAACGATGTGACGGAGGAGAGTTTTGACGAGAGCTCCAGCTGCATGATAATGTACGTTTACTTTCGCAGCAGTTGCGCGCTACATATATATATATATATGTATATGTATGTATGTATGTATGTATGTATGTATGTATGTATGTATGTATGTATTTACACACGGTATTACATCATTTGACATTCAGTTATCGCGTTTCTACCTTTTCTCTCTTGTGTGGTTCGAAGGCTTTGCTTCGAGTTTGGCCTTGAGCTGGATGACGTCACCTCTCAGAAGGAGATGGTGCCTTGTAGGAGATTTAAGGGCCTACTATAGTCTCCACTGTAATGCTTTTTCGGGTTCAGCAACGGTAGGGTTCGGATGCCATGGTAGAAAGCCGGTGAACCAAAAAGAACTATTATGGAGACTATAGGCCAGAGTCTAGGCCAGAGCTTGCCTTCAGGGCAATGTGGTCTGGAGATCGCAGACACAGAGACAGCTCCTCACATGCTCAGGTCGAGAAGGAGCGAGGCGCAGATGCGGCTGCAGACATGAGTGCCGCTTGGTTGCACGTGCACACGTTGGTGACTTTGGTGAGGAAAGCAGCCCCCACATCTGCGAGGATCGGGTCATTTTCAAAGTGGATGTGCCCGCAAATCGATACGATCTCCTGTGCATTGAGGGCCTGGTTAGATCTCTACAAATTTTCAAGGGAGTGATACCAGCGCCACTTTACAAGTTGTCTATGCCAAAGCCTCTGCCACAGATGACAATGACGGTGAAAAAGGAGACTGCGCAGATCCGACCCTTCGTTGTCTGTGCCATTCTCCGAAATGTCACCTTTGACAAGGACAGATATGATAGCTTTATCGAGTTGCAGGACAAGCTGCACCAGAACATCTGCAGAAAGCGGACTCTTGTCGCCATCGGAACACACGACCTGTCAACCCTCAAGCCTCCTTTCACTTACGAGGCCTTGCCTCCCAACCAGATCCACTTTACACCACTGAACCAGACCGAAGAGATGGATGGGAACAGAATGATGGAGGTCCTGTCTGCACACCAGCAGCTCAAGACATACCTGCCCATCATCCGAAACAGCCCAGTCTATCCGGTCATCTACGACAGCAACCGCGTGGTTCTGTCCCTGCCGCCCATCATTAACGGCGAACACTCAAAGATCAAAATGGAGACCAAGGACGTCTTCATTGAGTGCACAGCCACGGACCTTACGAAGGCCAACATCGTGCTTAACACCGTGGTGGCGATGTTTGCGGAATACTGCAAGGAGCCCTTTGTCGCTGAACCCGTTGAGGTGATATATGAGAGCGATTATCCGGGCAACAGCTTCGTCCAGCCCGGCGACAAGCGCCTCTACCCCGCGCTGGAGCCCCGAGAGATGAAGGCCAAGATCAGCCGAATGAAGGCTTCCCTTGGCTTGGACAAGCTCAGTGGTGCCCAAGTCAGGGACTACCTGCGCAAAATGAGCCTGCCGTGCGACATCAATAGCAAGGACGCCGACATCTTGGACGTTCAAGTCCCCATCACGCGCAGTGACATCATGCATCGCGGATGATAATTGCTAAGGCTCCTTGTTTGTTACCTATATTACTCTAGTATGTTATGAACTATCCTAAAACCCGACTGTAATTATTAATTATTAAGGTCCCGATATAGCAGCCTCACCTCGGAGTTGCCGAGGACCTCTAGAAGCGGCAAGTATAGCGATACAGGGTTTGGAGGAACATGGAAGCCCCGGTTGCCCTTTGCAGGATCACTCCGGATGTGCAATATACAACATCAGCATATCCCTTGAGCCAAGTCTTCATCACTTTCTTTGTCATGCTGTTTCATGTTCGCCCCAACGCGGCTTCGAGGCATGAGTGCGACCTCATCGAAGACCTGGCTATCGCTTACGGGTACAACAACCTTGAGACCTCCGTGCCTCAAACCGTGGCTGTGTACGGGCCCGAGTATCTTCTGCAGTTTTTTGTCTTGGCGGGTGAGCCCTTTCTCAGCCAGCAAGAAAGCTACTGCACGTCGAGACTTGCGAATCCTCACTAGGGCATCCAAACAGGGAGAATGGCTGGAGGTCCATAGTCATTAGATGCGGTGGAGGGAAACGCTCCAAGAACATTCGCTGCAGAAACATGAAGAGTAATCGTAGGTTTGTTCTTCAGCGGTTGCTGCGTAAAGTTACAGGGGGTGTTTCTTGAACCTTCAGCTTGGCCCGCCAGAATTCACCGCTTGGGTCTGCGTGCTTCAGGTCTGCTGGACAGCCTGTCAATAACTTGTCCGACCTGGCCCGCGGCGAGCTGGCAATGGCCGGATACACCGAGTGCATGAAACTCGTCTCGTGAAAGCTTTGGGGTCTATGTTGTTTTCCCAAAGACGCCCTGCGACCTCTCAAGCCGCATTGGCCTCCCAATCTGGAAGTGGTTGTCAGCGTTGTGAGGGTTCATGCCCCCGAAATATGAACATGGGTCTCCATTCGAAGGAATTGGTCGCTCCTGTCCAAGAAGGAGAACTTCACCTTCATGAGGCGAGAATCCAAGGCGGAGGAGCTTTGGAGAACGGTGAAGCAGCCCCTTGGACTGGTAGTGACCGTGGTGGGCATAAGTGGGTACCGCTTCGCTACATTGGTGGGGTTCAGACGTGAACCCGCTCAGAAGTCTTCGTAAAAATCCGTGTTCTTCGTCGACGGACACAGTCGCACAATTGCTTCAGAGCTCGAGCTGCTACTGTCATGAGCAGAAGCAGGAAGGGACAGCCTTGTCAGTTTTCTTGGCTATTGCAGAAGACGACACAGGCCTTACGAGTACATTCCAACAGCCCCGGCGGTCTCGGTGTCGAACCCGAAGACCAAGGACTTTGAGATCATCAGGACCGAAAGATGTAGTCCACTGTTGTTGGGTTCGAGAAGTTCGTGTGAGTTGACAGGACCTCCATGATGCCAGGCATCTTAAAGACCCTGGCCAACAGCAAGCAGTTACCGCCTCCCATCAAGCTGCTCCTTGGTCGCGTCTGGCGTCTGGCAAGTGAGCGTTTTCCTGACAAGAGAGTCAAAACACCCGCCTCGATTGTCAAGTCCTCCCTAACCCCTAGGTGCTTAACGGCCAAAGCGAATTTTAAGCTGACTCTGCACTGTTGAGGTTCGAGGTGGGCGACGTAGTGATTCAGGAGCCCGCGAGGGAGGTCGGCTGCAAAAACGTCCGACGGCTGGTGGCAGTACACGCCAACATGCGAAGTCAGTTCTCATTGCTGCAGCTTGCCTGCTCTTGAGCTCAATCTTTTGGAGGTTCTTACAATTATACCTCAGGGTGGCTCATCTTCAGGGCCTGAAGCGCGAAGAAAATCACAGATCCTCAAGCCAAAAGGGGAGTCCTCAGCAATGGCAGCGTTGAGCCATCAGGGCTCGTTGTTTTGAACTATGGTGTGTGCCTGTCTTTTGTGACGGAGTGCTGGCAGCGGAAAGGGAGAGCGGAGCATGGTGGGAGCGTTCCCTGTAGCCGAAAGGGACATCTGGAATCTCCTTCCTGTTATGGTTCCCTAAACCCTAAAACCCTACATAAACCAGGACGAGCAAAGTGGGAGGGGAAAAAACCCTAAACCCTAAACAAAGCCTCAAGGCATGGAGTTCTGGACCAGCTCATGTACTCACTAAACTGCGAGCCGGAGCATGAGCACAAGGAGGACTCCAAGAGGCGAACTTTCAAGTTGGTGCCCAGCGGCTGGCCGACAATTTAAGGCTAAGAGGGTTTAAGGTTAGGGGCTCCCAGCTGATTGGCAGAGTCTGGGTTCAAAAAGGGGCTTTGGGTTTAGGGTCTAGTGTTTCTAGGCACTTCAGAGAGACCTTGTTCAAAAAAGGGTTTCTCGGCTAAGAAAAAGACGTGAGTGTACAGGGAAAGTTCGAGGGCGAGCCAGGCTGCTCTCGCTCTGTGGCTACACTACTATTTCATGCTATACTAGACTATACTATACTATAGACTATACTATACTACAATATAACATAATATGATATAGTGGTAACGGTGCTATCAACACAACTTAAACCCACTGCGACTACCAATGCTTTTCCTCCCCCTGCCCCGGCCCCCTCCTCCTCGTGTCCTGTGGTGCTACAGCAGCAACAGCAACAACAGCGACAACAACAAGCAAACATTGCGAAAACCAAGGCGACAACGATAAAAAACAACAACAGTAGGACAGCGACTGAGCAGCTTCTTCGCAGCAACAGCGAAGAATTAACATTCGTAGCCGCCGCCACCACTACCGCCCCCACCACCACCACCCCCACCACCAACA